AAGGATTTCTCTTTATAGCCTTGGTTGTCCTGGATTCACTGTTTTTGTAGACCAGGGTGGCCCCAAACTCACAGGGATCATCAACCTGCCTCTGCCTCCATGAGTGCTGGGATTATAGTTGTGCACCACTGCACCAGGCTTCAGACCTTGTTTTTCTTTTTTCTTTTTTAATTTTTATATTAATTACAGTTTATTTTCACTTTCTATCCCAGCTGTAGCCCCCTCCTTCATGCCCTCCCAATTCCACCTTCCTTTCCTCATCTGCCCCCATTTGTCTCGCCAAGTCCACTGAGAGGGGCGGTCCTCCTCCCCTTCCATCTGACCATAGCCTATCAGGTCTCATCAGGACTGGCTGCATTGTCTTCCTCTGTGACCTGGTAAGCTGCTTTCCCATCATGGGGAGGTGATCAAAGAGCCAGCCACTGAGTTCATGTAAGAGACAGTCCTTGTTCTCCTTACTAGGGAACCCACTTGGAGACTGAACTGCCATGGGCTACATCTGTGCAGTGGTTCTAACTTATCTCCATGCATGGTCCTTGGCTGGAGTATCAGTCTCAGAAGAGACCCCTGTGCCCAGAGTTTTTTGGTTCTGTTGCTCTCCTTGTGGAGCTCCTGTCCCCTCCAGATCTTTCTATCTCCCCCTTCTTTCATAAGAATCCCTGTACTCTGCCCAAAGTTTGGCTATGAGTCTCAGCATCTACTTTGATACCCTATTAGGTAGACTCATTCAGAGGTCCTCTATGGTAGCTTCTGTTGTGTTCTCTGTTTTCTCCCTCTTCCAGTATCCAACCCATTTGCCTTTCTAAAGAAAAAAAATATTAAAAGCAGCAAGGGATAAAGGCCAAGTAACATAAAAGGTAGACCTATCAAAATCATACCAGACTTCTCAACAGAAACTATGAAAGCCAGAAGGGCCTGGGCAGATGTCATGCAGACTCTAAGGGACCACAGATGCCAACCCAGACTACTATACCCAGCAGAGCTTTCAGTCAACATAGATGGAGAAAACAAAATATTCCATAACAAAACTAAACTTAAACAATACACAGCAACCCCGCGCTACAGAAGATCCTAGAAGGAAAACTCCAATACAACGAAAACAGCTACACCTAAGAAAACACAGGATATAGATAACTTCACAACAAAAAATTAAAAGAAAACAAACATTGAAACACCATAACATCACCAACTCCACAATAAAAGGGACTAACATTCATTGGTCATTATTATCTGTCAACATCAATGGATGCAACTCTCCAATAAAAAAACAGACTAATAGAATGGTTGCAGAAACAGGATCCAACATTCTGCTGCATCCAAGAAACACACCTCTGCAAAAAAAAAAAAAAAAACAACACTATCTCAGAGTAAAGGGCTGGAAAAATGTTTTTCAAGCAAATGGACCCAGAAAAGGCTGGGGTAGCTATCCTAATATCTAATAAATAGACTTTCAGCCAAAATTAATCAAAAAAGATGAAGAGGAGCACTACGTTCTCATTAAAGGAAAAATTCACCAGGAGGACATCACAAATGTGAACACCTATGCCCCAAGTACAAGAACATGTACATTTGTAAAGGAAACATTTTTAAAATTGAAATCACATGTCGATCCCAACACCTTAATAGTGGGAGATTTCAACACTCCACTCTTACCAAGGGACAGATCATCTAGACAGAAGCTAAATAGGGAAATAATGACACTTACAGAGGTCCTAAATCAAATGGACCTAATAGATGTACACAGAACTTTTCACCCAAACTCAAAAGAATATACCTTCTTTTCAGCACCTCATGGAACCTTTTCGAAAACAGACCATGTAGTTGGTCACAAAGCAAGCTTCAACAGATACAAGAAGATCAAAATAATCCTTTGCTGGTTCTTTGAGAAAATCAACAAGATAGACAAACCTTTAGCCAAACTAACTAAAAGGCAGAGAGAAGCAGTCTAAATCAGCAAAATCAGAAATGAAAAGGGGGACATAACAACAAACACTGAGGAAATCCAAACAGTCATTAGGTCTTACTACAAAAGCCTAAATGCCACAAAATTTGAAAATCTAAATGAAATGGACAATTTTCTTGATAGATTCCATTTATCAAAATTAAATCAAGATCAGGTAAATAGATTGAATAGTCCTATATCCCCCAAGGAAATAAAAGCAGTCATCAAAAGTTTCTCTTTCAAAAAATGCCCAGGGCCAGGTGGTTTCAGTGCGGAATTCTACCAGACCCTCAAAGAAGAGCTAACTCCAATTCTCTTCAAACTATTCCACAAAATAAAAATAAAAGGAACATTACCATACACATTCTATGAAGCCACAGTCACTTTGATACCTAAACCACAAAGACCTAACAAAAAAAGAGAACTTCAGATCTGTCTCTCTTATGAGTATTGATGCAAAAATACTAAATAAAATACTTGCAAGCCAAATCCAAGAACACATCAGAGATATCATCCACCATGACCAAGCAGGCTTCATCCCAAGCATGCAGGGGTGGTTCAACATATGGAAATCCATCAGTGTAATCTACCATATAAACAAACTGAAGGGAAAAAAAAAAACAAAACAAAACAAAAAAAAAAACACCTGATCATTTCCTTAGATGCCGAAAAAGCATTTGGCAAAATCCAACATCCATTCATATTTAAAGTCTTGGAGAGATCAGGGATACAAAGCACATACCTAAAGACAATATACAGCAAGCCTATAGCCAACATCAAACTCAATGGAGAGAAACTTAAATCAATCCCACTGAAATCGGGAACAAGGCAAGGCTGCCCACTCTCTCCCTATCTCTTCAACATAGTACTTGTTTTTCAAAGTAGAAACTGCTGTTCCTGGCCTATGGCATGGTGAGCACTGAGATTTCCCAGGAGGCAGCTGCAGTGAGACAGCTTGTTTCATTGGGGGAAGAAAGGCTACTTAAACCTTTGGGTGGCATCAGGGTGAGCATACAGCTTTGGCTGGGGCCAGGGTGCTGAGGGTGTCTCATTTGTAAGGAATTCCAGGAAGTTTAACCTGCCTGCCATGCTACATGATGCTGTAGGAGGGCAAGGGTGGGGCACAGGGCTATGTGCTCCAGGGCTTGCTGGGGCCCAGAGGGAGTGGTCCTACTCCTGCTGATCGCAGGATGAGGTTTTTTGGGTTTTTGGACACTTCTGGACCCCACTCTTACTCCAAGCCAGCTACCCCTCCCCTCCCATGGTTCCCTGACCCCCACACTTGGTTAGTTCCTGGGAAACTCCACAGGAATCTTCACTTACCCAGATTTTCTGTGTGATCTGTTTGTGCATTAACGCTTTAGAAACCCTGCTGTAAAAGACAAAAGACTTCTAATTTGTACACTTTTTTAACAGGTTACAAAGCTTAAAATTTAGAAATGATTTATAAGAATACTTAACACATTCAACTTAAAACCTTCCTTTTTGGTTTGGGACTGATGATAGCCCAAAGGAATGCTGTCAGACCTTGTTTTTCCAAGTGTACCTTGGTGCATTTCTGTCCTTTGATTCTTAATCTCACCTGGTAAAGAAGAGAAATGGTGCTGAGGAGCAAAGTCATTGCTTTTAAATTTTTACTTAGTGGCAGCTTCCGACATCACATGAAGTTAGTTCTTAAGGAAAGGAGACAGGCTTGTTCAGACACAGCGGTGGCCCAGACTGTGTAAGCCCCACTGGGCTTGCTACGCGCACAGGGAACACACATGTACTAAAATCCTAAGTAGATGCCAAGTGAAGCTGTACACAGGGCCTAGATGTCTACTCAGGGAGTTGATGGCTGAGCCTGAAACTGCCCCTGAAAATTAGGTTTCTGCCCATGAGAAGAACCACAAGACTATATGGTTCTGTTGGTTTCTTCTTTCAGGGTGAGATTAGAATTGTTATTCTTACTTCATCTCTATGGACTTTCACTGCCAAAGTCAGTACTGTCATCCATTGTTTTGTTGTTAGGACTTTGAAGTAGAAACATGTAACTCTTTTTTGTTATATTTACAATAAAAAAATTGTGACACTCTCTACCTCTAACCTTCCAGTTTATTTTAGAGAAGAAAATTTTTGTTTGAGTTCTACTTCCTTTATGCGAAAGCTCCCTTCAGCCAGTTAGCTGAATGGCTCCAGGATCTCCTGGACATTTTTGTGATGCCTTTATGTGTGACTCCAACGCCTATGCCTTTATATGTCACTCCAATGGCGGTCTCAGTACAAATGTAGTGCTACTCTGTAGTCTGAGTATCCATCCACAGCACAGGGTAGCTAGCTATTCTTAGGAGCTACTCCTGTGAACCTGGGCTTGTGCTTGGTTCTGTCATTCCTGCAGGGTTTTTAAAACCTTGCGCTAGCCAAGAATACTCCCTGACTGCTGTTGACCTATCTGCCCGCAGTAAGTTTCCTTTTTAATGTATGGTAAGGATTTTTTCCATGCCTCTTTTAATTCTGTTCTTATCTAGTAGTTTGTCTTTTTGGAATGGACAATCAGGAAACCTTTGTGGTAGGAGACAGTTGCTCATCATTAATACATTTTTAAATCCTTAACTATGCGGGACTGGTGAGAAGGCATAGAGACACAAAAGGTTCCTTCTACTAACACAGTTTGCTGTTGTCAGCTGACAAGCACATTAGTACAGCAGGAAAGGGGCCATGTTGTAAAGTTTCTCCCACGCAAGGGATTGAGAGGACGTTGGTAGTCTCTTGTGCCACAAGGTGATGGATGGCGTTCTCCTCCTTTCTGAATGCAGAGCTCCTGGGAGTGTGCATGTCATCTTTAAAAACAAGAGTGGCTCATTTATATCACAGATCTTTTCACACACAGATTCCCACTTATTTATTTAATCATTGAGATTCAGAGAAAAAGAATAATAAAGGAATGAGCAAGTATGAATGCTTCTGTTAAGGGCTAGTTCCAGTATTTTTGAGTTGAGATGACACCATCCCTGGTGAACAGATGTCTGCTTTGTAGTCACATGTAGGTGTCTCCCACTCTGTCCCCTTTGTTCCACAGGAAAATGACGCAGGCACCTTGGACACAGTGGGCGCTGTGGTCGTCGATCAGGAAGGGAATGTCGCTGCTGCTGTCTCCAGTGGTGGCCTGGCCTTGAAGCATCCAGGGAGAGTGGGGCAGGTAAGCATTTGGGGGTTTCTCATACTCCTTTGTAAAACAAAATCACGTCTATCCTAAGCACAACTTTTGAATTACTAGGACATTTTTTTCCCATAGAAAAATAAAAATCCTTGTTCTTGAGCATTTACTTCCTATAGCTCAGGAACAAAATTCCTTTTGAGTATTATCTTTTTAAGAGCTTTTTTTTAAAGGGCTCTTGCTGGTCTTTATAACCAGTAACCCCACCTTCCCTGCACTCAGCAGCTTGGGTGGCACTGGCCTATTTTTGTAGTAGACATTCAGTAAATACTGATTTCCATCTTGCTTAGTAGATACCGCTCTGTAGGAGCTGGCACCCCTGATATTGCCCAGTGCTTAAAGTGTGAATGTCGGTTTAGCATGCATTTTATTCTTTCCATTTAAGGCACTCTATGTCTCTCCTGTGACTTTAGCCATTTTACAGAGTAGCTGAGATTTCTAGTCAGCCCCATCCTACAGACATGTATGTACTAGTGAAAGGCTCGGATTTATCTGAAGCTTGCTTGTTCTTAGTTCTCTTGCAGAACTGTTTTGAACATGCCTTCTCCACCTTCAGTCTTCTGAAATCTAATAATGAATTTGTTACACTAAGGGCAGTGGGTATTATGACCTGATTCTGTGTACATCTTCTGATCATAGCAGATTTTTTTGTGAATCAGGATACTCTAGTCTTTTAAAGAGGACGTGAGGATTTTATTTAAAATTAGTATTTGGATCTTGTCTTCCATTTGAAATGAAGCTCATTAGTTGTGTGCTTCACATTTCAAGAACAACCAATGTCACTGTGTTTTGTTCATGGTTGTTAGGTATAGCTTAGAGCTCATTTGTGATAGATGCCTTTGCAAAGCTCCCAGTGTTATTTCTCAGTCAGCCTTGATGTGTCCAGGTTTCTTGTAGTCTTATACTACTGGGGTGTGGATGGTAATATTAAATGATTTTATGTTCCTTTTTGCGTACCACATAGAAAATTTATGGGGAGTGATTATTTATCATATTATTTGCACTCATTGTAAAAGCATTTGTTCAGTCACATTTTTCTACATTATGGAACTAGATTTGTCAGGTTTGGAGTAAGAAAATCAAGCTTTTAATATCTTGATTTGCCTCCGTTTCTTTGTAATTCTTCAGTTTCTCCAGTTTTTGTTTGTTTTCTGTGGTAAAACAACAGCATCAGAACTGTACAGATGTCTTGAAGCCATTTTGCCACCATGCATGGGGTGTCTATGAAATTTGTGCGTTGACTTGCTCCACTTGGGGTGTTTAAGAATACACAGTTATGAGAGCCATAAGTATGTACAGTGGAGGAGACAGTGCTTACGGGAAAACACAGTCGCTTATTTGTATTAAATTGCTTGGTCAAGGGGACATTAGGAATCTGGAGCTGTGAAGCATCAAATGAGAGAGAAAACTGTGAAGCACAAAAGCATGTCCTTCAGGGTCCAAGTAAAGATGTGCAGCAGTAAGATACATTTCAGTGCGTTGTAAATGCTCAACTAAATTATTTTAAAAATCAGCGTAGCTGCTGCAGATAGTAATAGAAAGCGATTGTGAGATTTCCTTTGAACTAGAATTAACTTGCTTTAGCGTGTAATTATTACAGTTTATAGCTGGGATATGAGGAAAGAATTACTAGACTTGACTGGTTTCTACGTTCTAGAAGATGATCACCACAGTGTATATCTTACTGTGTTCTAGAAGAATGATACAATGTTTAAGTTCCACATTATATTTCTCAGTAAAAATAGTGATAGGGGTTGTTGATTATGCATTTGCAGAACAGTGTTCAGATAAAATTTAAACATTTATGGCATTCTGTTATTATTATTTTTATGTCCTTAGACCTCATTCACTCCAGTGCTCTCCCCACAGGAATGCCCATGAAGCAACCATCTGTTTCTGTTATGAGAACTCACTGCCTTATATAGGAACGTTATCCTATTGAGCTTTTCTAACTGGTACAAAGTTCTTCATTGAATGGTGCAAATATCTGTTTATTAGAACTTTCATCTATAGCCCTAGTTCCTTTCTAAGTATCTGAAATTAATTTCAAACAGGTAGTAAATAATGCAACATCAATATTAAAAATGATAGGCTGTTCAAGCTAACCAGCTAGTTCCAGGGATTATTTCTGACTCTAGTTCTGGGATTCCAGGTGACCGCCTTGCTGCCTGGTTTGTTATGTAGGCTTTGGGATCCAGACTCCAGTTCGCATGCTTGCATGGCAAGTATTTATCCACTGAGCCATCTCTTCAGCCCTATTAATTTTTTGAATGACATATAATGCCTTCATGTCTTCATGAGTCATATAATGTATTTATATATTCAAATAACATCGGTTGATTTATGTGCATATTGATTTCTTAAATGTGACTAGCCACTAGGGAGAACAGAGTGAAAGGGACAAGGAGAGGTTAGTCAAAGATACAGTTAGCTAAGAAGAGTAAGTTCTGGTGTCCTTGGCCTAGCAGAGTGAGTTTGGTTAACAGTAATGCATTGCATATCTACAAATAGAAGATAGAGCGTTGAGAGTTTTAAAACTATTGTTTGTACAGTTTTTATGCAACTTCTCTTTTAAACTATTTTTTATTTTTTGTTTTCTCCATGTGTGCTCGTGTATATGCGTGTGTGCACAAGAAAACAGCTCCTGGTGTGGTTTTTTAGTCTTCCCCGTGTTTTTAGTCTACCTTCTTTTCTTGAGATAGGAATTCTCATATTTCTATTTTTAATTAGCATAGAGTATTATATTTTGTTTGTTGTCTATTTTGTGTATCATTAATAAACTGAGTTTTATCAGATGGGTATGACTTTACCTTGTACTGAAGACTAATAACTGTGTGTAATATTTAGAACTTATTATATGCACCTATCTTCTGTTTTCCTAGGCTGCTCTTTATGGATGTGGCTGCTGGGCTGAAAATAGTGGCGCTCAAAACCCCTATTCCACAGCTGTGAGTACCTCAGGTATTTGCTGCTTTCATGACCATTCTTCATGACTACAACCCTGTCACTCACTTAATAATTAAAATTGGTATTTTGAGGGAAACATTTAAGAGAGCATAGATGCATAAAAATATCATTAATGTTGAGAAGTTTTAAAGATTGTTTAGTTTCCTATTAGAAAAACTTTGCAAACTTCATCAGTACAACTGACATTAGCTATAACTTTATTGTGTTTATTATCTAATGACTCATGGATGGCTATATTCACATCACAAGTGATGTCAAAGCAGTGGAGCATTTAAAAAAATTATCATGTAAAATGTTGCCATAAAACCCGCATGATGTGCTTCTGAATGTGTAACCTGTAACATTCCTGCAGCTTTTAATAAAGAGCCCTTTTGTACGTATACTAAGAAAGTTTATAACTTGGAGATGATTGAAATAGTGAGCATGTGTGATGTAGAATTTGTGTGCAAGCGTGCACATGCATGTGTGTTTGTGTGTATGTTTCTGTGTACTGTAGGGGTGGTCAGTAGGGGAGGGTTTAATGGGTAGAGTAATAGCCTGTTTTCAGATTTTTATAATTCTGGTACCAATTTACTTGAAGCCCCTTCTCTTTATCTGGTGATGCCACCGGTGGACAGTGTCAGGGCTGTTCACCCCTTCTCCTCTATTATCATATTCATGTAGCACTGACACATCTGCCTTTTCTATTCTTCTGCCTCTTCAGTTTCTGACCACATTAGGTTTTTTTTTTTTTTTTTTTGTCAGTACAATACCTTGCCTATCCATCCTGCTTAATTGTCCTGTGATCTACTGTAATTTACAATGTATTACTAAATTGTCATATGCTGTTTGAACTCACTGACGTGCTGTTTCAGTTTCTGGACTGTGCTTTTCCTCACTTCAGACCCAAGCATGTTTACCTTAGAGTGTTCTCCAAGATCCCTTCATCTGGAATGGGTTGGTCCTGGTCCCTAGGGCTGTCAGAAAGGGAATAGAGAATGATAAAACATTCCCAAAGTAAGATAGTAAATAGAATAAAAATGAAAACCTGTTTCCTTGAACATAGTTGGGAGGTAAATAATTCCCAAGTACCTTTTAAAAAGATTCAACTACTGTTTATCTAAGCCACTGGAGATCCAGGAGGGGCCCACCCAAGAGATGAGCTGCCTAAGATCTTCTCTGTTCACAAGTGCTCCTGTGGGCATCCTCCACTGACATGCCTCACCCACTTGCTCCAATCAGTTTCTGCTGATGCTCTCCTCCTCCTCCTCCTTCCTCCTCCTCTTCCTATCCTCTTCTCTCCATCCTTCTCTTCCTTCTAAAATTTCTTCCTACTCTTTTATCTTTATTTTAAAATCTTTTTTTCAGGCTTGTTTCCCTAATTTCTTTCTCAGTCCATTTATCATTTGTATAAAGGGAGCCTACTGATTTTTTTTTTTTTTTGAGTTAATTTTGTATCCAGGTACTTTGCTGTAGGTATTTATCAGCTAAAGAAGTTCTCTGGTAGAATTTTTGGGGTCACTTATGTATACTTATTTATATATCATTTGCAAATAGCAGTGATACATTGACTTCTCTTCCAATTTTATCCTCTTGATCTCCTTTATTTGTCTTAATGCTCTAGCTAGAACTTCAAGTACTATATTGATTAGATATGGAGAGAGTGGGCAGCCTGTCATGTCCCTGATTTTATTGGAATTGCTTTAAGTTTCTCTTCATTTAATTTGATCTTGGTTATTGGCTTGCTGTAGATTGCCTTTATTATGTTTACATCTGTGCCTTGTATTCGTGATCTCTTCAAGACTTTTAACATGAAGGGGTGTTGGATTTTGTCACAGGCTTTTCAGTATCTAATGAGATGACCATGTGATTTTTTTTCTTTCTGTTTGTTTATAGAGTAGATCACATTGATGGCTTTTCATATATTAGACCATCCCTGTATCCGTGGAATGAAGCTTACTCAATCATGATGGATGATGTTTTCAATGTGTTCTTGGATTCAGTTCATGATTATTTTATTAGGTATTTTTGTGTCAAAATTTTTAAGGGAAAATGGTTTGAAATTCTCTTTGTTGGATCTTTGTGTGGTTTAGGAATCAGGGTGACTGTGTCCTCACAGAATCAGCTTCACAGTGTTCCTTTTTTTTCTATTTTGTGGAATAGTTTCAGGGGTATCGGTGTTAGCTGTTATTTGAAGGTCTGTAGAATTATACTCTCAAACCGTTTGACCATGGGCTTTTGTTTGTTTGTTTGTTTGGGAGACATTTAATGAGTACTTCTATTTTTTAAGGGTTTATTTGGATTGTTTGCCTGATCTTGATTTAATGTTAATAATTGATGTTCATTTTGTTTAGACTGTAATTTTGTGGGGTAATGGTTTTTAAAGTAAGACCTAATGATTCTTTGGATTTCCACGGTGTCTGTTATGTCCTCCTTTTCATTTCTGAGTTTGCTGATTTGGATATTGTCTCTCTGCCTTTTGGTTTGTTTGGCCAAGGGTTTGTTTGTGTTGTTGATCTTCTCAAAGAACCAGCTCTTGGTTTTGTTGTTTCCTTGTATTGTTTCTTTGTTTCTAATTATTGATTTCCTGCTGCCTACTCCTCTTCTTTTTCTTCTAGAGCTTTCATGTGTGCTTTTTAAATTGCTAGTATGGTATCTTTCCAATTTCTTTATGAAGTCATGTAGTGCTATGAACTTTCCTCTTAGCATGGTTTTCTCTTTCTCCCATAAGTTTGGGTATGTTGAGTTTTCATTTTCCTTGAATTCTAGGAAGTCTGTAATTTCTTTATTTCCTCCCTGACCCAGTGGCCATTCAGTAGGGTGTTGTTTAGTTTCCATGAGTTTGTAGGTTTTCTGTTGTTGTAGTAGTCCAACTTTATCCATGGTGGTCTGATAAAACACAAGGTGTTATTTCAGTTTTCTTGTATCTGTTGAGGCTTGATTATCATATAGCAGGAGGATTTTCTTTTCTGGTCCAGTCTAATTGTTGTTCTGTAGGCTTCTTGTATGTTTATAAGCATCTTTTTCTTTAGGTTGGGAGATTTTTTTTTTTTTTTTTTTTTTATGAGTTTGTTAAAAATATTTTCTGGTCCTTGGAAGTAGGACTGTTCATTTTCTCTGTTTCTGTTATTCTTATGTTAGGTCTTTTCATAGTATCTCAGATTGCCTGGATGTTCTGCGTCAGGAATTCTTTTAGATAAAACATTTTCTTTGATTCTTCTATCACTATCTTCTATCGCATCTTGTATGTCTGGGATTTTGTCTCCATCTCTTGAATGCTGTTGGTGATGCTTACCTATGTTGTTGCTTTCTTATGTTTTCTGTCTCTAGGATTTCCTCAGGTTTTGCTTTTGCTTTTATTGCTTTTATTTTCATTTTCAGGCCTTGAACAGTTTTATTCATTTCCTTCACTGGCTTAATTGTGCTTTCCTATATTTCTTTAATGGATTTATTCGTTTGCTCTTTAAAGGCCTCTATCATCTTTTTAAGGTTGGATTTAAGGTCATCTTATCCTTATTTATTTATTTATTTATTTATTTATTTATTTATTTATTAGTTTTTTTTTTTTGCTTTCTTACCATTTTCTTTTCTTTTTATTGTTTTTTTTCATTATTACTAGTTACATTTTATTAACTCTGTATCCCAGCTGTACCCTGCTCCCTTATGATATTATATATTATGTATACAATGTTCTGACTACATGCCAGAAGCAGGCACCAGGTCTCATTATAGATGGTTGGGAGCGACCATGTGCATGCTGGGAATTGAACTCTGGAAGAGCAGCCAGTATCCTTAACCTCTAAACCATCTCTCCAGCCCTTAAGGCCATATTTTTGTGTTTCAGTTGTGTTAGGGTATCCAGAGCTTCTTATAGGATAATTGGGCTCTGGTGGTGCCATATTGCCCTGGCTCTTATTGATTGTATTCTTCTTTTAAAAAATTCATTTTTTTAAATAAATTATAGTTTATTCACTTTGTATCCCAGCCGTAGCCCTCACCCTCATCCTCTCCCAACCCCACCCTCTCTTCCTCCCTCATCTTCTCCCAGTCCCACCTTCCCTTTCTCCATCCCTCCCTCATCTCCTCTCATGTCCCTCCCCAAGTCCACTGATTGGGGAGGTTCTCCTCCTCTTCCATCTGACCATAGCCTATCAGGTCTCATCAGGACTGGCTGCATTGTCTTCCTCTATGACCTGGTAAGGCTGCTTTCCCATTAGGGGGAGTTGATCAAAGAGCCAGCCACTGAGTTCATGTCAGACAGTCCCTGTTCCCATTACCAGGGCAACCACTTGGAGATTGAGCTGCCATGGGCTACATCTGTGCAGGGGTTCTAGGTTATCTCCATGGGTGGTCCTTGGTTGGAGTATCAGTCTCAGAAGAGACCCTGGGCCCAGATTTTTTGGTTCTGTTGCTCTCCTTGTGGAGCACCTGTCCCTTCCAGGTCTTTCTATCTCCCCCTTCTTTCATAAGATTCCCTGCACTCTGCCCAAAGTTTGGCTATGAGTCTCACCATCTGCTTTGTTATCTTGTTGGGTAAAGTCTTTCAAAGGCCCTATGTTGTTGGCTCCTCTCCTGCTCCCTGTTTTCTCCCTCTTCTGATGTCCGTCTCTTTTGCCTTTCTGAGTAAGGATTGATCATCTTACTCAGGATCCTCTGTCTTGCTTAGCTTCTTTAGGTGTACAGATTTTAGTATGTTTATCCTATATTATATGTTTATTCTCCACTTATAACTGAGTATATACCATGTGGGTCTTTCTCCTTCTGGGATACCTCACTCAGGATGATCTTTTCTACTTCTCACCATTTGCCTGCAAATTTCATGATTTCCTTGTTTTTAATTGCTGCGTAGTATTCTATTGTGTAAATGTACCACAATTTCTGTATCCATTCCTCAGGTGAGGGACATCTGGGTTGTTTTCAGTTTCTGGCTATTATGAAGAAAGCTGCTACAAACATGGTTTGAGCAAATGTCCTTCTTGTGTACTTGAGCATCTTTTGGATATATGCCTAGGAAT